CGCACCATGATGATGATGATGTATGTTCGGGGCTGCATTACAATATTGATTGTTCGGATCATTGGTATCTAAGTCTTCCGCTGTGCTATCTTATACCTTGTATTGAAAGGTCGGTTCTTGTTCTGGTCTGCACCTATACGGTATGCAACATTTATTCTCTTTGCTACTCATACGAGGTCACTTTCCTTCACTCCCTTTTACTGAGATTTGAATCCTTACAGAAACGAAACAGTCTGTCAGTCAAACTCTGCTTAGGTGTGGCACGCCGCACTCGCTCGTCCGGTGTGCTTTTGTTCGCTGTGAACACGAGGGAAGCGACTGGTGGTGAAAAGATAACAGACGTTGTATGGTCAAAATGGCTACAATCGTAGGCAGTCGATGTGGCTGAATGGTACGGACATGTGATGGTTGGTGAAAAGATCAGGAGTTCAAATCTCGACGGAAGCGATTGCATATAAAATGGTTAAAACTTACAATTGTTTTATAGTCGTGCTATTCACTATATGGTACAGACTATGGAGTCGCATGAAAATATAAAATGTGCAAGGAACTAAACTACGAGCACCAGAGAACTCATCGAAGACCATGCATGAGTAGACCAAACTGAAGGCAGAAAAATTTCACAAGGCTGATAGCACACCAGTGCAAGAACGTACCGAACACTGCAGTCTCTTGATAATGAAAGCCCTGTTGCTGCCTGCACACAATCAACAGCAGAGTACTAGCCCTGAGCTTCAATGCGGTTACCTACAATACTTCCATGATCTACTCTCTCTCTCTCTCTCTCTCTCTCTCTCTCTCTCTCTCTCTCTCTCTCTCTCTCTCTCTCTCTCTCGCTCTCGCTCGTTCGCTCTCTCACGCGCGCGCGCCAGATGCTTTGTGAAGAGTCTGATCACATAGGTGCTCTCCTGCTGTACACCAGGTAAGTATCTGCCCGCCTGCCCCCACACGCTTCCGCCTACTACCAAGGGCATCCCCTTCCACCTCGCCACCTTTCTCCTCGCTGCGCTGCGCCTCCCTTGCTCTTATGACGCGCGCAGGTGCAGCAAGTGCATCTCTAGCATTGTCTCACTGGGTGCAGGCCACCCTGCTTGCTTGCTCGCGCAGTGCTAGCACTACCGCATATGAGCCACAATGTGTGTTCTGGCCTGGCCTTCCCTATTTTGCTCTCTGTACAAGCCGGGGCCTGCGCCTCTTGGTAGGCTGTGCCTACCGGTCCGGCTCAGGTACCTGCCAGGTCGGGACCCTAAATCAGGGCCTACTGGGTAGTTACCTTGCTGCGGCCACTACTTTTAGGCCGTGTGGGGCCTTAGAACTCCGCAAATGGCTAAAAGTGGGATGCAACTCATGTCTTGCGACTCACTTTCGTGGTGCTACTCGCTATAGCCGCTACTATGGTACCTATAGTCGCATAAGCTGCTACGTGGTGACTATACATAGTGGCTATAGTTGCTATCCCCCATTGCTATAGTTGCTATGGTGGCTGTAATCAATTTGATGATTGCACGAAAGGCTTTTGACTGACGGGGTACTGAGGGTAGTGATTGGGTTGGATGAACTTGGACCTGTTTTTGTTGCAGTTTTGGATCTGGGTGCAGCACCGGGGGCATGGACTGAGTTCCTTAGCAAGAGAGTTGGCCTGGTGGTTGCGGTCGATCCGGCAGAAATGAGTTCTCAAGCGATGCGCAAAAATGTTATACACATCAAGACAAAGGTAGGTCTCGCAAGTCCCTCAACCGCGGAAGACCATACTCGCACTGGCACTTCGTTGACTGAATTTTTGCCCTAATTGCAGTTACATACATGCAGGAAAGTCCGAGTGTGAGTATGATGTACATCTCTGCCATTCGACTCTCTTCTCCAAAGCGGAAGAGTGCCCCGACGGGGCACTGTAGGCATACAAATCTCTAAGTCTCACAGTATGAGCATCTGCGGTTATAATTTTAACAGTCACAGTAAGTAAGCTTAGGAAAGTAACGACTTTAGACGGAAATCTGTCGGCTGCCACTGTGTCTGGAGGTCAATTGGGCCTGTGCTTCACAGTAAGGGCTGGGACCCACTGGTGTTATGTTCATGCTTGGAAAGCAAGAACTTGGCCATGATGGCGGTCAAGTACGTGTGTTCATGGGCTGAACATAGCATCAGTGGGGCCTGGCCGTGAGGCCCATATGCGTGTAGATATGGTCATCTGCAGGACAGTGGGCGAGGATGCAACCTGTTGTAATCTCCACACAAACGCGTCATCGCTCCACTTACTCTGTAGCATATCAGAAAGTGAAATGCACTGAAAGCCTAGGATCTACAAAAGTGGCAACAACCAGCAGCATAGGTGCAACATTCACAAGGTGTCAATGTGCACGATGCAAAGAGTGAAACAACGAGAATTCAACAACAACACATTCGTATCATTATCATCATAGGCTGGGAAGCAGCRCAGCGGAAGATTTAGTATCAAGAGGACACGTGGACAACAACATCAAAGGGAGAAACTTCGGAAGGGCAAGACACTAGAAAGATTTCCCTTCCGCTCACACACATGGGAAGAGATCCATAGACATGCGAGAGAGAAGGGGGAGGGACATAGAGGTAACCAAGTCCAACCCAAGTCTGATCTCCGAATGTCGCACACAGCTCAATCCCAATGTAGAGTGTAAGTCCGATCTAAATGTCGTGTCCAATAAGGCAGAAGGCCGTGTCCAAAACAATGTCTGCAGTTACCTCTATCTCTACTCTGATAAAGAAGAAGACGAAGAAGAAGAAGAAGAAGAAGAAGAAGAAGAAGAACTTCGGAGGAGTAGGAGGAGAAGAGGAGAGGAGAAGAAGAAGAAGAAGAAGAAGAAGAAGAAGAACTTCGGAGGAGTAGGAGGAGAAGAGGAGAGGAGAAGAAGAAGAAGAAGAAGAAGAAGAAGAAGAAGAAAGCTAGGCGCTTTCTGCACTTACCTGGCGATGGCTGAACTTGCAGGTACCGCGGAGCCAGCTATGGCGCTGGGCAGGTAAGTCCTCTTCTCTCTCTCTCTCTCTCTCTCTCTCTCTCTCTCTCTCT